TTTTCATCAAGATAGAACGAATATTGTGGAGCTGTTAAATCACTGGTAAGTAGCCAAGGTTCAAGCATATAATTATCTTCATCTAATTCTGATTCTTTATCATGAAGATCTCGGATGTTTTTATCGAGATCTTGTCTCAAGAAATAATCTTTTGATAGATTCTTCCAATCTTGTTTATCACTTTTCTTTAAATATTTCAAATGTTTGTCTACGATCAAATCATCATAAATAGCCAGTGTGTCACTCTTATTAACGACCATGAATGAATTTGATCGTTCTATTTCCCAAAAAAGTTGAAAATCAGAAACAGGTGGAAGTTCTATTTTAAATCCTGGATCTCCTAATTTAATAGAATCTCGTAATGAGCCGAAAATATTCCAGATAGACCATTCATTTTTTGAAGAATATACAAGTAACATCTCATCATTGTGAAAAAATTCAATAAATGTAACATTAACGAATTCTGAATTTGTAATAACAAGTTCTGCTATTTCAAGACTACATTCGATCGAATATATTTTGATTACTTTATTAGATTCATATTCATATGCTAATAATTTGCCATTGTTTGATACTGCGTAACAATTAGGAATATCAATCATAACTGATTTGTAATAAATTGGCCTTCGAAAAGTATTTACCAATTGGTTTGTCTTTAAATTGTAGAGTTCTACGTATTTGATATTTTCTTTCATAGTATCGACCAAAAAATAATGCTTATTTAAACTGTGCTTAATAAATACTAATATAATTTTATATACTAGATCGATACTAAAAATTTCAAAAGGTAGATTTAAATTATTTTTGATGGCGTTGTATATTCTTTTTGGGTATTTTAGCTTTTGTATGTTACTAATAGATTTATTCTTCATATGATACTTATAGATTCCTGAAAGTGTTAAGAGAATAAGTAAGTGCTCATCAGCATTTTGACTGCGTTTGTCAGTTTCTTCATCATCGTTTTCAGTTTTTTGATCTATTATATAATCCTTTTTAGAAAGCAATTTAACTATACCGCCATATTTATTTGGTAATTTCTTATCTTCAATATAATTAATTGAATAATTATTATTATTAATATTGATAGTGAAAACGAAAGTAAATCCATTATTACGAATTTCCATCGGATGTATTTTACTAGAATTTTCCATATAACCTGTCACATCTTTAATATTGACACAAGATATTGCCAATAATCTAAATTCCGAAGAACTAGCTGATTTATCAGACACGGCGACAAACCACCTAAATATGTTTTCATATTCGTCTATATTCATATTTAGTTGCTTATCAGTAAATTTAAATGTAGTAGGAATTCTGGAAAGTTTCCTGTATGATAATCCCTGGTCATCTTCTGGCTCTGAACTACTTTCTGGTTTTAAACCATCTATTTGTTCCGAGACGTTTTCTAACGTTAAGTTATCTTTATTGTTTGAATTTTGGATATGATACAATTGGAATTCGAATTCTAAATCAACTGAAAGATTTTAAACGTTTATTAATAGAGCAAATCATTTAATTAAATAATTATTTCATAAAGCATTTACCAAGATTTTTTATCACTAATACAACTAAAAAATCGCCTTCCGGACTAATTGCCAAATACTTTGTAGGTTTCTCTTCCTTTCCTTCAGTTTTGACTTCGACAATATAGTCTTCACTTTGGCTGTTTGATGCTGACATAATGTAATTTTTCTTATTATTATTTTCTAATTAACGAGTTGAATGATAATCGAGCAAATTATTATTGTATTTAAAATATCTTATGTGGCTTAAATTTGCAGAATAAATTTATTTACTATGGCTCAAGAAATAAATATTTTTGTTTATTATTATAGTAGTAGTGGCTTCGAACTCATGTCTGTGAATATTTATTTTGTTAAGGTTGCCAGTGTATTGAATGGTTCTTGGGCGTGCCCATGTTAATATACGTTAGGTAGGTTTACAAACAGTGCATATCTATTGTGGACAATTAATTATATACAAATGATGAAGCTCCCGTGAAAGGCGAAAGTTCAGAACGAATGTCGAAACTTCCTTAATATGATGAATCCATTAAGGTAATGTATGTATTGTTATTATTAGCTATATTGGCCATTAGACGCTGAAATATAGTCAAATGACAAATGCATATGTGAAAGGATAAATTTTTTGCTTACAATATATTATGAGCCTTGATACTACTCGGAGATTATGTCCTCAACGTTGTATGGGCACAGAGATAACTTCAATAGTATAGAGATATAATTCCTATATTATGGAGAAATTATCAGTTCATTTTGAATTTAGAATTTATAAGAAAATGTCTTTTGGTATTAAATATCGAAGAATCATTTAAAATAATATTTACAAATGGATCAAAAGAATTATTTGAATACAAAAATTATATTAAATCTGTTGATGACCATTTAAAT